AGTGTCCTCCAGTCAAAACAGTGTTCCTCAGGCCTAAAAGCTACTACCCATGTCCCAAAAGCTAAATGTGACTTTTGTTTAAAAGGGCTTGAAAAAGAATGACATTTACAATTAAAAAACAGGTAGTCCCCAACTTACAACCTATTCAAGTCATGACAAACTGCGCTTACAACTATCTGGTTTGGTTTTTTTTTTGTTTGTTTTTTTTACATCTTATTGTTAGTAATATGTACTACATACAGTGTTAAAATATATCCTTAAGTTTATATGTAATGTTTCCAACCCCCAAAGACAAATAAAGATCAGATTTATAAAGATACTGATAATAGAAGGCAATAATAATGAAAACTAAAAAAAAAATGAGGTATTCGACTTAACATCAGAACTGGCTTGCGACACAGTCGTTGGAACATGACCCCATTTTAAGTCAGGGACTACGTGTAATAGCTCTGGGTTAAGGGATATGTATGAGTATCTCTGCTATTCCATATAGATCTGGGGAGATTTTTTTATTAATTGGTTGCTATCTTACTAGCTGATGACTGGTAATGGTAGACGGAGATTTGAAAGGTACAACTGAACCTACCTAGAGTCTACTCAATTAATTTGAACCAATACGAACTATTTCACTTCTTAAGAAGTAGTGTAACACAGAAGAACAAACATGGGTTTTGTAGTCAGACAGGCCAAGGCTGAACTCTGGTTTTATCACTTAGTAACTCAAACAAAGCTGGATGAGCTTTGGCAAGTTAACTGAACACTATAACCTTCAGTTTCCTCCACAGTAAAAAAAAAGGGACATAACATCTACTTCACAGGGTTGTTATGAGGATTCAGTCAGGTAATTTATGTACAGTGCCTCTTACAGTACCTGGAACAGAACCAATCAGGCACATCCAAAGTGTTTCTTGAATACATACTAAAAAGTTTTATTATTATTAATAATAATAGTAGTAATAATAAGACAAATTGTGAAAACAAACAATGCTTCATTTTGTGCTACAGAGGTTTCTGTTTTGTTTTGTCTTATATTTGTTTGTTTTTAAGCCTTTAAGTACCTTGGCAAGAGAATATACACTCTCTTTTAAGCATCCTCTGTCTTTCAAGGAGCCGGAAAACTTGATAGGTCCTGCTGTTGTATTCCATACCATCTTACTGCCCAGCATTTTCCCGGTTCTATTCTCTCAGCTATTCTACAAATGTCTCCATCAACTAAGGTTCCCCTTTGGACCAACAAAAACTCACCTGAAAATAATGTTCCTATGGGAACTGATGTTTTTGCCTCCATACTGAGTAGTGATCCAGGAGGGCCTTGGTCTCACACCCCACTGTTCAAAACAGTCATCAGACAATTCCTTCAAGTTCCATGAGTGAGGTTCAAACATGTCATCGACACCATTAGTACAAAAGGGCATGATTATTTCTGTGCAGGCCTGAAAAAGCAAACCAATAGGGGACCCAAAAATAAAATGAGGCACAAAAAAAAAAAAAAAAACAACTAAACCCACTGCCGTTGAGTCAATTCCGACTCACAGCAGCCCTACAGGACAGAATAGAACTGCTTCCGTAAGGTGTCCAAGGAGAGGCTGCTGGATTCGAACTGTCAGCCTTTTTGGTTAGCAGTCGAACAACTTAACCACTGGTGCCACCAGGGCTTCAAAACGAGGCACAGAGAGGTTAAATATTGTCCAAGGCCATACAGCTATTTAGTAGCACCAGGTTTTGAACTCACGCAGTCTGGCTTCAAAACTCCTGCTCTCTACCTCTATGCCAAGCAACTTCTCATTCTTCATAGAAACATTTGACTGAAAAGTCACAGAAGTTAGGACTATATATTCCTTATTTGTAAACTGTTTTCTTTCACATCTATCACACTCAACTCTCAAAACAAATCTGGAAGGGAATTATTATTATCATTTTTTTTTTGCAAATAACGCATGCCCTCTACGTTTGTTTGCCAACTGCTCCCTACCCTCTGCGAAGTATTTTTGTTAAGCGTTGCTTTGACATAGCGGCACTTATGAAAATACCTCATGTCATGGATTAAATTATGTCCTCCCAAAAATGTGTGTATCAATTTGGCTGGGTCATGATTCCCAGCACTGTATTATTATATACCATTTTGTAATCTGATACAATTTCCTTATGTGTTGTAAACTCTATCACTACGATGTAATAAGGTGGATTAGTGGCAGTTATACTGATGAGGTCTACAAGATTAGTGTCTTAAGCCAATCTCTTTTGAGATATAAAAGAGAGAAGTGAGCAAAGACACATGGGAACCTCATACCAACAAGAAAGCAGTGCAGGGAGTAGAGCACGTCCTTTGGACCTGAGGTTCCTGTGCTGAGATGCTCCCAGACCAGTGGAAGACTGACGACAAGGACCCTCCTCCAGAGCTGACAGAGAGAGAAAGCCTTCTCCTGGAGCTGATGCCCTGAATTTGGACTTGTAATCTACTAGACTGTGAGAGACTAAATTTCTCTTTGTTGAAGCTATCCACTTGTGGTATTTCTGTTACAGCAGCACCAGATGACTAAGACACCTCGTGTGGGGAGGGAGTGGTTGGCCAACAAATGTAGAAGGTGCATGTTATTTACATAAAACTACAGTATTAGTTTCATTATATGGAGGAAGGAACAGAGGCTCAGAAAGAGTAAAGTTTGAGTTCCCTTCTTTTATGTGTCCATAAAATGCTTCCTTTATAGCACTTATCAAGATCTATTATAATATTAGTTTAGTTATCTATCTTTCTCACCAGGCTGTATTTGATGGTGAGACCATGTCTTACTTATCTTTGTATCTTTGGAGCTCGACACATAGTAGGCACTCAATATATATTCGGTGATGATTACTAAATACATGAATTAATGAATGAATAAGGAAACCTGTCCATGGTCTCACAGTGTAAGATGACAAAGCTCAGATTTGGACACGTTAGGTGACAAAATCTTGTGTACTTTCTGTTACAACACAACTGTATTAGTGAAAAGTAAGTTCCACTTGGGGAAATTATACACACTTACCTGATAGCTCCAACCCAAGGATCCCAGACTGCTAGTGGTTGTCTCTGAGATATTCAGGCATTTCACCTGGCCTGAATAATTGTAATATACATTCAGAGCTTGGAAAAGATTCTGTACCAGCTGTTGATCAGATACATTGGGATCTTTGAAATACTGGCATACTACCTGCCAGAGAGATAAAAGGGAGAATAGTCAGAATATTAATACAAAAATACAGTTTAATAAAACAAACAAACAAACAAAAATCTGATCTTGATTGGATCACAAAACATTTCTTAAGTATCTAACTATATTGCTCGACAATTTCTATCTCTTGAGAATGACTCCCTTCATAAATTAATAAAACTCTTAAATGACTCCCCAGGCTACAGAAATAAACCAGTCTTTTGCATGGTATGCAGGTATGCAAAGTCCTCCCCATCTTCCACTCTAGCTTCATCTCCTGCAACCTCTGTGCCAGTCTAGCAAAACCTTTCCCTAGCACACCAAGCTCTTTCCCTCCTCTGCCTTTGCTTGCCCTGACATGCCCTCTTCCCACCCTCCAACTCCACTAATGTCTGGAAAACATCAACTTATTTTCCACAACACTCAGCTCAAGTATCACCTCCTCTCCGAGGCCTTCCTTATCAATGTCCCCAAGTCAGGAAGAACAAACCACTTCCTTCTTTGTGCCTCCACTCGACCCTGTGCCTAGTTCTATCAGAGTCCCTGCGTAATAAAGAATTTGGCAGGCCTCTGTCCTAGTGCTGCGCTGCACTGATTTGATTCCACAATGTCTCCCTCAGTACTTAGCAAGGTATCTGCCAACTAAATGTTTGCGGAATGAATGACTACATTTTTATGAAAGTGCAAAATTTATCAAATTTCTTATGGAAAAACTACACTAAGCTCCAACATCTGTGGTGTGGTAAGAAATATATCACGCAACTTCCCAGCTCCCAAATATTCTAACCCCAGCATATAATCAATGCCTGAAATTGTAGCACTGAAAATCACAGGCAGTAGAATCATAGCTGAAAAATAACAGCAGCAACAACAATAATAGATACTTATTATTGAGCCCTGGGTTTACAACCATCATGTGACTTGATTCTCCAATAACCCTGTAAGATCTATTATCACCCACTATTTTACATGGAAACTGAGACTTCGGTTAAATCACTTTATTTAAGGTTACCCAGCTAGTAAGTGGTAGGACTTAGATTTAAACCCAGGTCTCTCGGGTTATAAAACATACATCTTATCCTTTATGTTACACAGCTAACGAAGTATCCCCTTAAAAAACTGCAAACAGCCCTATGGGAAGAATAACACCCTTAAGCTATCATCTTCCATTAACATCGTAACATGAATTCAGTGACCCAGTCCTTTCCCATTTCAAACGGAAAAGACATATACCACGGGCAAGTTCTGAGAAAAAAGAGACTAGTTCAGAGAAGAAGGAGCCAAAAAAGAAGGAGACCCAGCTACCCCACCTGAGGGTAGAGATTCTGGGCAGCAGAAGTATCAACAGGCCTGGGCTAAGGACGTGCTCCCAAGTCAGGAAAGGACGGCACTGAGAAAGGCAACGAGCAGCTAGGAGCAAACCTGGCCCTCATCACAGTTCTGCCTAGGATCAGCTTTCAGCAACACCTTCCTGAGAAAAAGGAAACTTGAAAACAGAGAAAAAAATTGATCATAGGGAAACTTCAAGGTCTTTTCCCATACATATTCTGCACAATAATATTTCTATGGAATGTTAATTGGTACTTCATGGGAAAAAAAAAAAGGTTTCATAGTCAAAATAATCTTATGAAATGTTGTGTGGGCAATGTGAACAGTTTTCTTGACTGCAGGATGTCTCAGAGCCTTTAACATCTTAACTGCAACATGACTTTTGAAAAGAGAAATATAAGTTTTTGGAAATGCTGAATGTGAGAAAGTCAGAAATTAAGATGTTCAAGTAGCTGGGTATACCCTTAAAAGTAACTGTGAGGTTATAAGAACTAAGCGTCCCAGAGTTTGTTGTTGTTGTCGTTGTGTTTGTTAGGTGCCATCAAATCGATTTTCAACTCATGGTGACCTCATATAACAGAGCAGGACTACCCCATAGAGTTTTTTAGGCTGTAATCTTTATGAGAACAGATTGCCAAGCCTTTCTCCCACAGAGCCACTGGGTGGGTTCCAACCACCAACCTTTCAGTTAGCAGCTGAGTGCTTAACCTTTGAACCACCATGGCTCCTACACCAGGGCTTATGATGTACATGAAGAAATAGAACTGAGTTAAACTGAGAGCTTCACAAACTTATCAAGCCTGAAGCAACAAAGAAATGCAAACTGAGGAAAACTTAAAAGGCAAAACAGTGTTTTACTATTCTGAAAACGCTCAATTATTCATTGCAAGTCAAAAAATTCCTAACTGTTGTAGAGCACTTTTAACAGAAAATATTCCTAAGAAATACGTCAATCAAAAATACTGAAGAAAATACAAAAATCAAGACCCAATCACAGAATTTATCACACAATCTACTGCAACAGTTGATCAGCATTCTTTCCTGAATTTGGCCACCAATAGTGAGCTGAGCTCTTTCAAAACGCAGCATAAACGACAGAGTAGACACGTGGAATGCAGAGAAGGGCATCCTGTTCAAGCACAGCATGGTGGATGAGGCAGGGTGACAAACTGGGCCGGGCAGAGGGAACAGGGGGACTAATAAACAACACCAAGTGGTCTAAAACTCTGGAAAAGAAAAGTGGCAAGTGAGGGTGACTCACACACTGGCACCGGATCCCCTCTCAGAACTAGAACACTGGGCCTCTGTCAGGCAAAGAAAAGGAATCCTCATGAATAGCCATCTCTGCAAACAGCAGTTACTGTCACTGCTTAAAAGATACAAGCATGGCTGGGGACTGGCACCAGCTGATAATACTTGGGTTTCGGCAGCCCCAGTTACACAGGGAGGACATCATGGTCAGAAACTTCAGCTCTGCTAATAGAAATACCAGGCCCCAGTTAAGGGCCATGCTAGGCCCACTGTCCTCTGTGGGATCAGATCACCCTTGGAGTACTGGGTCCAGTTTCATGTCCTTTAAGAAGGACATTGACCAGCCTGAGAAAACCTAGAGGAGAGTAATCTGGATGGAAGTTGAGAAATACTTGAAGCAACCCTATAACTGGTCATTTGGATCATTTCCAAACTTTCACTGTTATAAATATGGCTACAGTAAACAGTCCTTTACTGTTTTCTTGAGATAAAGTCATAAATTACTGATTCAAAACAAACATTTTTAAGACTTTGCTGCATCCTGTCTAACTGCCTTATAGAAAGTACCAATTTATAATTCCATCAGTGCATTAGATTAGAAGCCCTGAAAACTACCACTTAAAAAAATTTTTTTGCAAAATATTTGCAAATTTACTATGGGGATTTTGTTATTTTAGGTGGATCTAAATTTCCTTCCTAACTCAAAGATTTAGTAATTCAAAACGTCATCCTCTAGTACAAAAAACACAATTTCTATATGTCTCTATGCGTGTCCTTAACAATTTGGATAGCAAAGGGTAAGCGAAGTAAAAAAACAATACTGAATTCAGACTAGCAAGACCTCAGCATTATTCCCATGCTTATTCAAAGACTAGTAATTCAAAAGAAAATATTAACATACTTTTATCAAATATCTGTAGGATGCATAAAATTTATATAAATACTAAGTTGAACCATATGAAATTGCCATCTTTATAGGTAAAATCCCCACACGTCTGTCAGTTTGTTGTACTGTGGTGGCTTGCGTGTTGCTGTGATGCTGGAAGCTATGTATTTTGAATACCAGCAGGGTCACCCATGGTGGACAGGTTTCAGCTGAGCTTCCAGAGTAAGACCAGGAAAAGGACCTGGTGGTCTACTTCTGAAAAAATTAGCCATTGAAAACCTTATGAATAGTAGCAGAACATTGTCTGCTATAGTGCCAGAGGATGAGTCCCTCAGGTTAGAAGGTACTCAAAATATGACTGAGGAAGAGCTGCCTCCTAAAAGTAGTTGACCTTAATGACATGGATGGAGTTAAGCTTTCGATACCTTCATTTGCAGATGTGGTATGAATCAAAATAATTAGAACGTGGAAAGTATGATGCATGAATCTAGGAAAATTGGAAGTTGTCAAAATGAAATGAAACGCATAAACATCGATATTCTAGGCATTAGTGAGCTGAAATGGATTGGTATTGGCCATTTTGAATAGGACAATCATATAGTATACTATGCTGGGAATGACAAATTGAAGAGGGATGGCATTGCATTCATTGTCAAAAAGAACATTTCAAGATCTATCCTGAAGTATAACGCTGTCAGTGATAGGATAATATCCATATGCCTACAAGAAAGACCAGTTAATACGACTATTACTCGAATTTACACACTGACCACTAATGCCAAAGATGAGGAAATTGAAGACTTTTACCAACTTCTGCAGTCTGAAATTGATCAAACATGCAATCAAGATGCATTGATAATTACTGGTGGTTGGAATGCAAAAGTTGGAAACAAAGAAGGAACAGTAGTTGGAAAATATGGCCTTGGTGACAGAAATGATGCTAGAGATCACACAGTAGAAAATCAAAATCAATGACTTATTCGTAGCAAATACATTTTTTCACCAAATTCTACCTCACCAGGTAGAATACATGGGAATCAGATTGACTACATTTGTGGGAAGAGACGATGGAAAAGCTCAATATCATCATTCAGAAGAAGGCTAGGGGCCGACTGTGGAACAGATCATCAATTGCTCGTATGCAAGTTCAAGTTGAAGCTAAGGAAAATTAGAATAAGTCCACAAGAGCCAAAGTATGACCTTGAGTATATTCCACCTGAATTTAGAGACCATCTCAAGAAGAGATTTGACTCATTAAACACTAATTACTGAAGACCAGACGAGTTGTGGAATAACATCAAGGATATCATACACGAAGAAAGCAAAAGGTCATTAAAAAGACAGGAAAGAAAGAAAAGACCAAAATGGATGTCAGAAGAAGACTCTAAAACTTCCTGTTGAATGTAGAGTAACTAAAGCAAATGGAAGAAATGAAGTAAAAGCTGAACAGAAGACTTCAAATGGTAGCTCGAGAGGACAAAGGAGAGTATTATAATGAAATGTGCAATGACCTGAAGTTAGAAAACCAAAAGGG